TGGAAGCGCGGCCCATAGATGTACAGCCCGCTGGCCACGCCGAGCGCCACGGCCACGGCCACGTGCTGCAGCGGCAGCCGCCCCCTCATGCCGGCAGGCGGCGCGGCCGCGCTCACGGACACGCGTGGGGCGGGTTTCGGCCCGCGGCCCCGGCTCGGCTGAGACCCGCGGCCCCGGCGCCCTCACCTGAAGGCGGGACACGGCAGAGCCCCGACTTCCCGCTCGCTCCAGGCACCGGACGGAAGTGCCTGCGCTGTCCCGCCCCCCGCGGTCGCGCATGCCCGGCTGGGGTGCTGCGGGCGCGGATGCCGGAGGCGGTGCGGCTCCGCAAACGGCGGTCGGTGCTGTACGGCTCGGCCGGCGGGGCTACCGCGCAGCGAGGTGCCGGTAAGCGGGGCCGGGCCGGGCCGGGCTGAGAGGGGCGCGGGACGGCCCCCGAGGGGCCCGTGACGGACCAGCCTCGCCCCCGCAGGTACGGCCGCGCCCGCGCCGCTGCTGGCGCTCGCTCTGGCGCTGCGGACGCTCAATTGCTTCCTCGTCCAGACCAGCTTCGTCCCGGACGAGTACTGGCAGTCGCTGGAGGTGGCCCATCGCATGGTCTTCAAATATCCTTCGCCTGCCGCGGCCCCTCATCGCTCCCCGCGGGCCGGAGGGGACACGGGTCCCGCGGTGCCGTGGGCGGGGGAGCGCTCGGGTACGGCTTTCCCCGGGAATAAGGTGCTGGCTTGACCAGCAACAAACACCCCACCGTTCTGGCCCAAGGGGGAAGGTCTAGACCAGGATGGTTTGGGTGAAGCTCTTCCTTTCAGTTGGTCATGATCTGTCCTTAATATTCATAATTATGGTTACCTGACTTGGGAATGGACAAGTAGCTTAAGGGGCTACTCGTACCCACTGATCTTTGCAAGCATGTACAAAGCATTACAGCTGCTGGCTAAGGATAATGTTCAGCTGCTGGTGAGTATCATCAAAAAATGTGCATCTGCTACTAAAATTCAATTTTAAAGCATTGTATTTAAATATAGTGTATTTTTATCATTGCCTGAGTAAAATGCAAAGCCTTGAGCCTGGCAATTATAGATATGTGAGTACAGAGACCCCACTGATTTCCCATGGGGGCAGAACTCATTCTTAGATTCATAGAGTCATTCATTCATAGATTTCCAGCACCGGTGCCTGCCACTGCAGAGGGTTATTCTTGGCCTCCATCAGTTTCTTGGAGTTTCATACTGATTGCGTTTGCCAGTACATCATAATTGCACAGTAATTCAGTTTTCCAAAGTGTTTAGCAATGTATATTTGTACTCAACCCACAACAACTAACTAACAACAGTCCCTTTTGATTTCTATTGGAGATGTAAACCAGATAATTCTACTTTCCATCTCTAAACACTTTCAGCTGAACTTTAGACATTCTCTGTTTTGGTAGAAATACTATCCTTACCCAAGGACCTTACTGTTTCATTTTTAAAATCATAAAAAGCAATAGAGAATATTCACCAGTTCACTATTTTCATACCTGAACAGTTATTCACTAATTCAGTCCTCTCTTAAAACTTGGAATTTAACTTTGTTTGTTGTAAGTAGAGTTTTCTCTCTGCTTACACAGATCTGGGTCCCTAGGCTTGCACAGGCAGTGCTGGCTGCTTTTGCTGATGTGAAGCTTTACTCATTAGTGCAACACCTTGAAAATTCAGAAACAGCAAAGTTCGTGGTGAGTCACAAATTATTCATTTTAATAAACACTGGTTTTGTATGGTAAATAACAGCAAAATTATATGACACACCTTGAATAATTGCCACTTTCATTTAGGTGAACTTGTTTTAATTTGTTCATAATTATTTTCAGTTCTTCTGCCAACTCTGTTCCTGGTTTACATGGTATTCCTGTACCAGAACTCTAACAAATACCATGGAGACTATTCTTACCATTTTTGCTCTTTCCTATTATCCAATAAAAGGCTCCAAGATGGGGAACAGGTGAGACATTTTCTCTTAATAGTACTAACAGTCCAAATTTTTGGTTTGGGATGACACCAGTCTACTGATACTGTTTAAAATGCTAGTTTTTTTCTTAACATCTAAGGCAACCAAAGCCCCCTCATTCATGTAGCAAGAGTTCTGTCTCATGGAAGGAATACTCCAGTATTTCCTCTAAATATTTTTTAAGATTATGTTATAGCTGGTATGTAAAATTAGCTATTCCCATTTCCTTGTGCTAAGTGTGACTTTATGGGAAGCTTTATTTTAAACCTTAAAAAACTGGAATATATAGTAACTTTGGAAAAGATAAAAAAGGCTTTTTGGGGTCAGAAATTTGTGGTCACAATTTTCTTTACTGCTCAGTATTTTAAAGTAGATACCTCTAGTTAGCAACTCTGTTGCAACAAAGCAATTCTATTGCTGCAGCCTTCTAAGCAAAACAGAGTATCTGCACTTAAGAGAGTCAGTTACCTGCAGTATGAAAAACTTTTAGCCAGAGACATGACTAAAAATGTTGTTGAAATGTCACTGTCTGCAAAAGAATTGACCAGTCCTTTTGATAAGCTGCTGGGTTCTTTATGTTTCTTCCTTCTAGTTGTAAGTATTTAGCTTTGGTAGCACTTGCAATTGTTATTCGTCCCACTGCTGTTATTCCATGGATGCCTTTGGTCTTCAGCCATTTTTTGCAAGAACAGAGGAAAGCAGATCTTATCCTACATAACTGCATTCCAGTTGGGTAAGTTCTTTCTCAGTTTAAACTGGGACTGTGCATAGCTACATCTTAAGATGGGTTTTACCACTACAAAAGCGGACAAGCCAAAAAACCTGGTGTCATGTAAATAAAAAAGTGAACAGAGTCCTGTCCTTTTTCAAAAGTTTAAGGAAGGGGAATGTTTCCTTTAAACTGTTGTATATGCTGCAAAAAAAACACCAGGAAAGATGTCATTATGGTGAGACATGAGCAGCATTCCAGCTTAATCTGGGTTTGTGCCAAGGATACTAGGCGATGGCAAGTGGCCACTGTAAAATGGTCATGAGTATGGATAACCTCTAAAATACTAGGAATCAGAGTTTTGACAGCTATCTGGAGAAGACAGCAAATCTTCTCCAAAGACAAAAGCAATTCAGGCAATATCAGTGCAAAAAACTTTTCATTTTTGCAGATTGGTCACAATAGGAACCTCTTTAATAATTGACCGTGTGTTTTTTGGTGAGGTAAGCTGTTTTGAACTTGTCTTGTAAGAAGAAGGTTGGGGTTTAGTATTTTAGCATTCATGGATATTTCTCTGACTTCTCTTGTTTCTGTGACAGTGTTTGGCCTGTGATCTCTGGTGAGTATAATCATACATCCTAACCTACAAACCCTTGAACACTGATATTTCAGGTATTTCAAATGATGGACTGCTACATAAAATCAGTATGCTCAGACCTCAATAGTTATCAACAAAATTATACACTTCTGTGATTAATTGCTAAATATAGGAAGTCCATGCTGAGTCTTAGTGAAAAAAAAACCAAAAAACCAACCTGAAATAGGAGTGAAAATGTATTATATAGGGCGAGTGATGACTGTGTAATTCAATGTAGCTGTTGGGCTTGACTTTGGATTTGTGTTTACCTCCCCCCCCCTTCCAGTGGGTACTGGTTCAGCTGAACTTCTTGAAATTCAACGTGCTGCAGAATTTGGGAACATTTTACGGCTCTCATCCTTGGCATTGGTACTTCACTCAGGGACTCCCAGTCATCTTGGGTCCCCATCTGCCTTTCTTTATTCATGGCTGTGCACTGGCACCAAGGAGGTACCGCATCATTCTACTGGCAGTGATCTGGACAGTGCTGGTGTACAGGTAATCTCTCCTGAGTGGAATTACTGCCTCTTACTGGTTGTGTTCTTTGCAAAGCTCATGTCCACCCCAGAACCAAGCAGCATAGTATTCAGGTGAAGTGACAGAAAACTTGAAACTATTCAAACACTCCAAGAAATGCAGTCATATAAAACTGGTTCTATGATTTTGTGTAAAACTGCTTCATGCATTGTCACCAAAATGTGACAACATCTTTAGAATTTATTAGACCTTTAAAGAGCAAAATAATTCATCATGAAATGCAACAGAAAATGAAATTTAAAAAAATCCCCAAATCTCAACTCAACTACCCAGCAGGTGTTTAAGCAAAAATAGAACTAGTTAGAAAAATGAATTCACTAGATGCCTATTAATGAAAACACCATTTCATTTGATTCTTTAATACATCCTCAGTAAGATGAGAGGTTCTTAGGCCTCTAAAACTTGCTCCATTCACAAGTTTGCACACAGCTCTTAACTATCATAAGGCTGTATTTCTAATTTTAAGCTCAGAAGTATAAGAAAAGGTAAGCTTTTTCTAAAGCATCAGAATTAACTGTAGATTAAACAGGAGAGACACTTTCAGACAAGAAAAAATATAGCATGTAAATAAATACGAAGCAATAAATACTTTTATGCTATTGTTGTAATAGACTACAGCAAAACAGTAGCAAGACCAGAAATACCATTTCTTCTTTCCAGCTCAAAACTGGAAGTAGCTCTCTTGGCTTTAGGACTTTTTCACTTCCCATAGTCTTGTAAGAAAATCTTTGATTTGCAAGACATGAGTGTTGCAGTAATCCCCAAAAAAGCCCAAAAAGTCGGCATGGGAAATGGTTTATTGTTGTATTTGCAGGGATGACTGTTAATTTGCTAGATATAAATGGGCACTTGAATCTTAGCTTTTCATCCACACTATATATTGTGTCTTATTTCAGAAAACAAATGGGTGAAGTACTGGCTAAATTACATGTAGTTGTCAAGGAATCAGACCACTTAATTTTAGTAGCCAGGAATTTTTACCAGTGCTTGGTTTAAACTGATTAAATAATCTTAATTCAAATGGACTTATGTTCTTCAGAAGTGAGAATTTGGATTTTTACTTTTAACTGCTTCAGTATCAAAAGCTTCTTAATACATGCATGTGCTTTTCCAGTCCTCTGTGCTCTGAAACACATTCTGCCAACAGAACTGAAACATTTAACTTTCTTGATGTAATATTATATATTTTATTACAGCACACTGAGCCATAAGGAATTCAGGTTCATCTATCCAGTACTGCCATTCTGCATGATTTTTTGTGGTAAGCATTGGTTTCAAATGTCTTGCACCCTTACCTGGATATAATTTTTACCCAGAGAGAGACTGTTAATGGTCAATGTAGGTATTTGATAAAGGATTATTAAAATTAGCCTAGCCATTTCTTACAGCTAGTTAAAAAAAGAAAGAAAGAAAAAAGATAAGGAAGAGCAAGTGACTGTAGCACAGAAAGAATCCTCAGCATGGGTAACAGTATTCCTGCAAAAACATGACAGTTGTGTCCTAACTTTTCAGCACTGCCACCCATAAAATGAATCTTGTTCCTTGGCTTCTTTGCAGTATTCTTCTGCAGAGTACTTTCAAATATGCTTGACAAATGTCTTTCATTATGCAAGATAAAATTAAACTACCCTTTTCTAGATTCAGATGTTACAATGGAAGATTAAAACTTCTGGAACATGAAGCTGTATAGCTTCAGTTTAAATACAAGTTCTTTAGCCTATTTTGCTAGTCTAAACAAAAGTAAGTCTTATTTCAATAATTTTGCTCTCTGCTAAAATCAAATATGTAATAAGTCTTGGCTTAGTTCAGTAGCAGCAAGATGATCCCATTCTACCTTACATGCTGAAGAATTCCAGTCAAATAACAAAAAATACTGAGTATCTCTCAGCTTTCATGTCTGTAAAGGAATGAGGTCATCTATTCAATTTATCAATTCATTATCATCCATTTGGATACTTAAAAAAACTACAGAAGTTATTTCTGATAAGTCCATGGTTACAAAGTGATCTTAATTGCTCAAAACATTATAAAAGCAGAAAAAACTCCAATCGAATTTCAAAGTAATTTCCAAGCACACAAACATAAGCCAAGAGTGTTTCACAAAAGCAGTATAAAAAATGCCCATAATAGAGTATTACCAATTGTGTTTTAACCACAAGTGAATTGTAGACTTAATCTTCATCCAAGATACAATTTGGCAGAACTGACCAACTGAAAACTAATTTAATTTGTTACTGATTTCTGAAACATGCCTTGTAGCTTGTTTTCAGTGATTCAGTACAGGTGTCACCAAGCTACATAAACTATTTTTCTCATGTTACTGACAAGCATGTGACTTGAAAAGAGTTTTCAGACTGACTGCAACATGAAGCTGGTGTCTTTCGTATTCATCTAAGCTGGATGTGAGAAAGGAACTTCTGCAACCATCTCCCACCACCAGGAGAATTGCCTTTTCCCATAATTAGCTCCTTCAAGAAAAGTGAGGAAAAGGGGCAGCAATGGGAGATGGGAAAAAAATGAAGGAGTATGCTCTTCCAAGGCCAGCAGCTCAAAATTCAGTAACAATAAAGGAATGTTGTAGTTTTCAGCATTTTGGAGAAAAATAATACCACAGCCATGCACATGTAGCCATTTATTCTGGCTCTACATGGACTTGCTTGAATCAGAACACCTCAGAAAGTTGCCATATATCATTCATCCAAACTACTGAATGGACTATTATTCACTACAAGAAATTAAATTTAAAGAGACAAAGGACTGGTTTTGAAACTGTATTTCTGTATTTCAGGAGACAGGTGTGTGCTTAAGATTTACTCCATTAAATCCAAGAATTAAAAGAGCAAAGTCTAACGTTTGAATTTCCATTCAAAGAGTGAAGACACAATACTGTAGTAAAGTATCTCAAAGCAAAGTGTTGTTATTGACTGAGTAATGGTTTGCCACTGTATTAGGGTATTTTCAAAAATGTGTGAATTGTTTATTTCCCAAATTTACTCAAATGTTTCTATAGGGTATTCATTGAAACACCTGAAAGCATGGAAGAAAACTGCAGCAAGTTTCCTGCTCTTATCCAATTTAGTCCCAGCCCTGTACACAGGCTTGGTTCACCAGCGAGGCACTCTGGATGTTATGAGTCACATCCAGCAGCTCTGCAATAACTCTCAGCAGTCACAAGCTTTTGTCTTCATACTGATGCCATGCCACTCTACTCCATTTTACAGGTATTAAAAGTGTTAACAATGCACTACATTAACATCCAAACTCTTAATCACAAATCAAGATTTCTTTTTTCCAAGGCTTAATAAATTGAGATAGAGAAATATATACAGGAAGACTTTTGCTTTTTCATACAGCTAATAGAGTGACTAGGGGATATAAACCAAATGCCTATACCACAGAATAAAATTCAGCATCTAAGCTTTATTCATTTTTGTGAAATAGCTTTGTATGAGTATATGCAGAAAGTCTAATGACTTCTCCAAATAAGTCATACTTCTTCATTATGGTATCATTTGTAGCAAAACCAAACAGTAATTGTTACCATCAAACTGTATTGATTTTACTTCTGCTGCTAGGTAGTAAAGAAACATTATAACAGAATGACTTAGGTCACTGCAGAAGGTTTGCAGTAGGTCCTGAAAGTAAACAAAGTGTTAAAGCAGATATAAATAGTGAAGCTGATATGGGAAAGTACCTTTTCAAGAAACTGATGTTGAGCATATGGTATTTTTATTAAGATAAATGTATTTTCTGTTAACTGCTAACAACACAGTCCCAGCAGTTTGGAGCTGAGTCTGCTTGTTCTGCTTTGCTTCCATATGAAATATTGAAGGGAAGAAAATACTACTCTGAGGAAAAAAAAATTAATTTATTTTTGTTTTGACTGAGGTACCTTTTAGATGAGTCATTTCAAATTTCTGATTCTGGTCAGTTTATCATGAAATGTGTGTTTTTGTTTTTCTCCCTAGTCATGTTCACTGTCCTCTAAAAATGAGATTCCTTCAGTGTCCCCCAAACCTAACTGGCAATGAGAGCTACATTGATGAAGCAGATGTATTTTACTCTAACCCACTTGGCTGGCTGAATAAGGAGTTTTACAATGACACATTACTACCCAGTCACTTGATCCTCTTCAGTGTGCTAGAACAGGTATGGTAACTACAAGGTGAAACAAACTACCTCTGAGGATAAGTTACAAAATAAATTAGGGAAGAGTTATAGTTAAAATTTTTGAAAATTGTTTTCCACAACTTTTTAAAACACAGCTTATATTAAAATTGACCCCTCTAGTCCATAATAAGAGTATTGATATCGTTCCAGTGATATATATTTAATGTTCATATTTAATATGCCCTCTCTTCTGTGCAAATTCTACAGGCCACAAAGTAATGTTTTATGGAATTCTTCTCAATCCATGTTAAAACAAATGTGCCATCTGTCCCCAGAAATTGCACTTCTAAGTAAGCAACAGTGAAAAGCAAAAACACCTGCAGTCACAGTACCTTTTAACCCCTCAAATCTTTAATGAAGTCCATGCACTCAAACAGCGGTGGCTGGTGAATATCCGCTCCGGATAGGATCAAACAGGATAGGTACTTCTTTTTCTAGCAGGCTTTCCTAAAATAAAGGATAAAGCTTCCCAGGGACTGTTGAAATGATGGTTGTCAGGAGACTTTGGAACACTATTCTTATGCTCCCAGCTGTGCTTTATTACTGTGGAAATTAATGTATGTTCATTTACAGGAAATATCATCATTTCTAGCTTTGAGGGGCTATGAGAAAACAGCCACTGTCTTTCATACTCATGTACCTCAAGGACGAGTTGGAAGCCACATCTCCATCTACAGGAGAAAAACTGAAATGAATTATCCCTGAAGATCAGTGCCTAGACCTTGGACCTAATAAGATCAATTTTGCATAGCAAAAGCTACTGTACTATAGCAGTAGCTGTGCTTAGATGTTGTACTGCAGAAAGGAGAGCAGTGAGTCTGAACTGGGGAAGTCAAATAGGAAGTCCCATGAGGCAGCCAGAGGCTGCCTGCAAACACATAAACCTCCTGAAGGCAGCTGCAGTAGCAGTAGGGCAGGGGTTGCTGGCCTACCTAACAACACACTGGGAAGACCAAAGTTACCATATGAATACTTAAGCAATAGAATACAGACAAGACTACATATAGAACTGTACAGCTATGCTAAATTTCTTTTATAAATAAAGACTTTTACCCACAATGTCTTTTATTTTTCTTCTACAATATGCAGATATGCAAGACATTTCAAGTGTTTAAATCAGCACGCTGATTAGAATGCAGCACAGCAAATTCTTCACAATTCAACAGGCTCTTGAACCCCCCCAAAGACAGGAAGCAAATATAAAGTTACAGAACACTAACAAATACATTACCACGATGTTGACCTCTTTTTTTGAAGGATGAGATGAAGTTAGTATATCAAACATTAGAGTTAGTAGTTGGTACATTATGCATGGCTCAAGCTTTAACTACACTAATGGAATGCAATTAAGCCTTTTTTCATACACAGGTCATGGCATGCCTAGTTTCTGCAACAATACTGCTGGCACCCAAATTATCTTTACTTCCAAAGAACAGCTAAAGCAACGGTACAGAATATGCAAATTAGAAAGACTGACTTCTGCCTGTTAACAAAAATGTGTAAAAATCAAATTATTCAGGAAAAAACCTTGCAACTTGCTGCTTTGTTGAAAAACAATTAGTTTGCAGAGTACGTGAATTTTAATCTTAATTTTTACAATAAATTACTCAATATTTTGGATCAAAGGGTAGTTGCCCCAACTCTATTTCAAGATTTGCCATGTGTCTTCCATTAGTGCGACCATGTTTATGCCATTTACCTTCTCTTTTATTACGGTGTTGGTACTTCTGAGCTTGTTTTTCATGTCTGGAATTTTCAGTTTGTGTAAAAGGTCTTTTAGGTCGACTGCAAGGAGTAAACAAAAGCTTATTACTACTAAAAGCATTTTGAAACACAATTACATTTTCAAGTACAGCTTTTAACATGCTGAAGTTCATTGAAAACAAAATTAGTAGTAAGTAGTCCTTTAGCTTGTAAGAAAAATGGGGGAGGCATTTTGTTTAAATCATCAATAAGATGGTATATATAAAAGAAATACATTCTAAAAATAAAAATGCAGCTGATATCACAAGCTTCTCTATAACAGTATCAGTAAAAGAATTTGGAATTGTTTTTCTGCAAACTGAAATTCTCACAAATTAGGTATTTAATTTTAAAATAATTTGATAATAATTTAGGAAGATGGACTATAAATAAAATTATAAACCTCATGTGTTTGTCAAAACCACATTAACTGGGTAATGATAATAGGACTATCACCCTCAAGGTTCAGCTTTCAATAGGAGGAAGTGCTACCTCACATAATACTTAGCAACCCCAAAGTAGTTAATAGTTCAGACTTCCAGCTGCAGTAAAGTACATGAAATGATAAATAATACAAGTGTAAATCTGTAAAGCCCTGAGAACACCTTTATATCCAAGAAAGGAATGTAAGAAACAATTGACACCAAGGGCCATTGTGAGTAAATATGAACAAAATTTAGTCAGGGTCAGGATGTGAACCAAAGCTTGCTATGTGATGAGCTCTGGGCATACAAACTAACCCAGTATTACATTAATCTGCAAGAGAGTGGTGAAATCTATCTGCCAGAACAGGACTTGGAGACACCTCAGATACACTCAAAAGTCTCATTCAGCAAAGGACAACAAGGAAGGCCTAGTTAATGCTCCAAGACAGTTACTTATTCCACCAGACCAGCAATTAGAGCTGTTCAGTCTAAAGAAATCCTACTGGCAGTTACAGTTTTCTAAGGAACCCAGCAGAAACATCAGATTGTGCTATGTACACATACCAAATTTATATAAAAGGTACTACAGATACACTTTATATAACATAATTAATATTTCTGCTAAGTCCTTCAGAAAGCCTTCTGGCATATGTGTGTGTGTATATGCATACACACACACACATAAATACACATACCTGCTCAAAGACCATTCATTACAATAAGGACACTGGTTGTCTTTACAAAAACCACTTCTTTGTGTTATCAAGTTCAGGAAACATGGAAACAAACCTGGGTCCATACTGGGGTGAATTATCATAATGGAAGTAGTATCTGTAGACGTATTTGTCCAAATCCTCAAAAACCTTTTCATTATTATTTTGGTATTCCTTCATATCTTCCAGGTAATCCTTGACATCATTAACAAAATCAGTGAACAGCATCTGGTCATGTATAAACAATCCATTATGAAAAAACTTATTGATGAAATTTTCTAGTTCTCTCCAGTGATGAAAGTTATGTACAACTTGTTGCAAATACTTTCTCATTAGCCGATTAAATTCATCCACCCTGATGGGATCTGAAACTCTGTTAAAGAGACTAATGAATTCTTGATGAGCACATTCAAAAATACCAGAGCAGCCCTTTAGGGCAAACTGCTGTTTTCTATTACACAAATGATCATTGAGACATTTCTGGGAATCTGAATCTTTTTCAAATGTTGTAAAATGATGTTTTCTGCCATTTCTGGATTCTTTTGGCATGTGAGGTCCCCTGTAATGCATGTGCTTCAGATTCTCGTAGGAGTTGTGGTCTCGGTAAAAAGTTCGAGCTTTCTTGTTTGCTTCGTATCTTTTATCGCTTGATGACTTCTCTTTTTCATCAAAGATGTTTTTTGTGGTATCTTTGAAGTGTCTGAATGTAGACTTTACAGAATCAGAGAATTTTTTCAAGTTTTCTTTCACTGCTTCTTTAGCCTGCTTAATCTTTTCTTTATGGTGCCTTACAAACTCTTTTGTGGAATTTTTCATAGCATCAAAAGTTTCTTTAACTGAACCAAAAAATGTCTCCTTTGATTTCTTTCTACTCTTACTTTGCCCTTTAGCACCTTTCTTTTGTCCATTTTCATTAATTTCTTGTTTTTCAGATTGGTCTTTTGCTTCAACATACAGCTTCTCCCATAAGTCAGAGCGTTGTTGCTCAAAGTTTAGCTTTTTTTCTAGTTCTACCAGTCTTCCTCGTAGAGTTTCTATTTCTTGATTTTCTCTTAATGCCTCATCATCATCATTAGCACTGTCAGGTGTTTGACGAGAACTTAACTGTTCTAGTTCTTTTTTCAGAGCTTCTGTAACATGACGTTCTTTGTCCAGTTCTCGCCTTAACATCTGTGCCTCTGCAAAGAGTGTTTCCTTTTGCCTGAGAAAATTGCTGTTCCTTTGCTTTTCCTCTTCCAAATGCTCCCTTAGTTTCTGATTTTCTATTACAATAGATTCAGTGCTACTACCTTTATCTTCTAAGTTTCTAATTTGTTGTCTTAGCTTCCTTAGTTCTTCCTGAAGTGAGGCCAAAGCTTTTTCTTCCTTCTCTAGAGATTCTCTTAAGTGCTGATTTTCTGCAGCAAGACTTTTTCTTTGAGAATCAAAGGATTTCTTCTCCACCTCAGTAAAGGTCAAACATGTGGCAAGGTCTCCCTTGAGTGACTAAAAGAAACAAAAAGGAAACAAGCAGAAATACTACAACGAGAATTGTTACAATTTTAGCTAGAAAGATGAAAAAACAAGGCAGCCCAAACAGAGCTTACTTGTCATTTTGGATGCAGTGAAACATGCGCAGCAAGATGCAAAAATAGAGCTGGTTTGTTTATCTCAGTTGGGTTTGTTTATCACACACTTTCTTGGCAACGAAGACCATGTGAGAAACTCCCCCAGCCAGCCAGAGGTCATCACCCCTCACTTGTATTGGTTTAACTAGCTAAAGGATACTCAGTTTGGTACATGAACTCTAACATTTTAAAAGGAAATCAAAATGTGCATGTTTGCTGTTGATTTATGTTCAGCAAACTGGATTTACAGTTTACAAAAATAAATTAGCAGAAGCAAAGATATTTAGCTGGTGGGGCAGAAATTCACAAACTGATTTTGAACCAAATCTGTTGCTGAAAATACCTGTTTGTGTAACTATATACTGACACAAAAGGAGCTCCCCAGTCTGTTAGCATCATTGACAAGCTCTAGAACATACTGAATTATGTACAAATGCTGCTAACAGACACATAAAAGAAAACAAAAAAAAAAAAAA